GTCGCCTTCCTTAACTGTATATTTGAATTCAAAAGTATGGAGGAGACTAAGAATAAAAACTTTTAATTGATTAAATTATAATATTTTTAAAAAAAAATAAAAAGAAAGGAGAAATTTTTTTTAATTAATCAAATTATAACGTTTAAATATATTATAAAAGTTTTAGGGTTTTATAAACAGTCAAATATTATTTTTTTAAAACATTGATTTTGTTTTTATTAAATGTGGTTATTAAAATAGCTAATAATTATATTTCCTCTATCTTAAAATAGTTATTGTTTTTTATTTTAAATTTATACAAACTTAATTGTTATTTTTTTTTACTTTTTAAAATTAAAAAATATTTTTTTTTCTAGTTTAATCATATTATTATTTATTTTATTTTAATTAATCATTCTATCCAAAAAAACACCTTTTTTTATCTTTTTTTTTTTTGAAAATAATATAAGTAAACACATAAATTGTTTCCTTTTCATGTTTGTTAACTTCTATCACATTCTTCTGTCTACATTTGAATTAGTTAATTTTAGTTAGGGTGTTTGATATAACTTTTTTCTTTAGATAGGGGACATATTTTAATATTAAGAATTTGTCTCCTTTTAATGATTTAAATTGTATAATATTTTTTTTGTACATTTTTATGTAATAACTTCAAAGACATTTCTCCAAGTAGAATTTTTTATTTACAGAAAAGAAAAAAAAAGATAGACATTTTACATCTCAATCGAACCTGTTGTGTGACTTTTACTTGGTCTTCTACCTTCTAACATGGCACATATACAGAATCTGGTACCCATGAAATTTCATTTTCTTAAAGATAACGAAAGCAGCCACTAGCTAGCACATTCTATGTTCTAGTTATCTTGACTCAGTTACCTCTGAACCTTTATTGGTGTATTATAAAGCGTGTACTCTCTACATCCAAGTGACCATCAACAACTGGATAGTTAGGCAGCCACCAGAAAACTGTCCTTTCCTTTTCATCATCATGAATAATGCCAATGTTGGTTGAGGAGAAATTTGTAAAAAAGCAGAAAATTATTCCCTCTTATATAATTAACGTTATTAAATAAAAATAATAATACAAATGTTGTAGACAAATATTTTCCAAAAGGCAATACATAGCAATCAAGGGACATATATATATAAATATATTGCTTTGCCTAACTATATATTCATTTTGAGATATGAACTCCGCGGTCCACATTTGAGGGTGAGTGTTCTCTATTAATAGATGTGAAAAGTCTGAGCTTACAGGTGAAAATTCATGAATATAATTTTTTTTTTTCAAAGGCAAAATAAATTTTATTAATATCGAGAGGAAGAAAATTCATGACTCTAGTAACTACTCGTTGAGTTGCAAAGTAGCACCAAGTTTTTATTGTGCTTAATTTAATCGTGAGCTCCCAGCGGGCCTATCTTTCCTTAAGTCTTTGCCATTTTCTATGGACTCATGGGCATAATTACTCGGACTCATTTGATTTGTGTATTCTTTTTATAATAATGCTTCTCTGATCTGGAAGGGATTCATGGAAATTATGTTGTTTGGGAGCTTTAGTTCTGCCTCACAAAGTGTAAACGATTCACTTCACCATCAAGAACAAGCCATGTATCATTGAGTCAGACTCTCGTTGTGCTTTTTGCATCATAAATATATAGTTATTTTTTACGGTAAATAATGTAATTCATTAACAGAATAGATTGAGTATATAGAAATTAGAAAGTCCCTAAACTTATATATAGCCACATTGGCAAAAGGGGAAGCTAAATTACAATATAAGCAATAAAAGTTGTGGCCATGACAGATATAAACAATTATTTGCAGAAAGTTAGACTATACTTCAGATCCAAGAGATTGTTGTAGGGGAAATAACAGAGCTTCTTATGGAAACGTCTTAAGCTACTAAGTAATCCAAGTGCTATGCTAGCTTCAAGGGAGAGTATAAGTAATTAGGCAAACAACAATCCCTACACCCTTTGAATTCCATATCGAAGAAGAGATGCACTAGCCTAAAAGAGGGTTGGAGTCTTCCCTATGAATCACCGAAGCCATGCTTGAGTTAGTTCAAGAGAGATCTTTAGAGTTCAAGTCTCCTTCGGCCTCTTGATCAACCATGCCACCGATAGCCAAAATAAGTATAGCAACCAGTTTGAGTCCTTAGCCCTACTAGTGTCTTGTTGCCCTCTTATCAAATTATTAATTAATATGCATACTTTTTCATATAAAATTAATATATAAATACATCATTAGCCGTGTGTGGTTTGATGGTAGATTATTTATGCTCTTAACCACAAGTTTAAGATTTAATTCTTAGTCTCTACGTGCCAAAAAATATATATATGAATATATGGGACAACTAAATTGCTAATACGCTATGCCTTTTCTAATTTAATTTTTTCTTATGGTTTGATAAGGAATACTCATTTCATTCAACCAAAAATAACCCTAGGTGATCATAAAATAGGAAAAACATTGAAAGGAACTATATATTAGCTAGTCAAGTTTTATATATTTCACACATCACCCTCTCTCTCTC